TGTAATAAGGTCTGGTGCCCTCTTCTGGACTATTGTATACATAATAAATAAATATTTAAAAAAAATCCTTTGAAGGTAATATAGTAAAAATGACAATCTTACAGAAAGCAATCTACAGATTCAACGCAATGCCCATCAAAATCCCAGCAAAATTCTTCAAAGACCTTGAAATAACGGTATTCAACTTAATATGGAAAGGCAAAAAAAAACCCAGGATAGCCAAAACAATAAAAGAACTTCTGGAGGCATCATAATCCCTGACTTCAAACTCTACTAAATAGCTACAGTACTGAAAACAGCCTGGTACTGGCGTAAGAACAGACAGGAGGACCAATGGGAACTGAATAGAAGACCCAGATATCAATCCACACATCTTCAAACACCTGATCTTTGATAAAAAAAAAGCAAAAAATATCAAATAAAAAAAGAAAGCATATTTAACAAATGGTGCTGGCATAACTGGATATCAAGATGTAGAAGAATGAAAATAGACCCATATCTATCACCATGCACAAAACTCAAGTCCAAATGGATCAAAGACCTCAACATAAAGTCAGCCACACTGAACCTTATAGAAGAGAAAGTGGGAAGTACACTTGAACGCATTGGCACAGGAGACAACTTCCTAAATATAACCCCAGCAGCACAGACACTGAGAGAAACAGTTAATAAATGGGACCTCCTGAAACTGAAAAGCTTCTGTAAAACAAAGGACATGATCAACAAGACAAAACGACAGTCTACAGAATGGGAAAAGATCTTCACTGACCCCCACATCAGACAGAGGTCTGATCTTCAAAATATGCAAAGAACTCAAGAAATTGGATACCGCCGGGCGGTGGTGGCGCATGCCTTTAATCCCAGCACTTGGGAGGCAGAGACAGGTGGGTCACTGTGAGTTCGAGGCCAGCCTGGTCTACAGAGCTAGTTCCAGGACAGGCTCCAAAGCCACAGAGAAACCCTGTCTTGAAAAACAAAAACAAAAAAATTAAAAAAAAAGAAATTGGATACCAAAAGATCACATAATTCAATAAAAAAACAATGGAGTACAGACCTAAACAGAGAACTCTCAACAGAGGAATCTAAAATGACTGAAAGACACTTAAGGAAATGCTCAACATCCTTAGTCATCAGAGAAATGCAAATCAAAACAACTCTGAGATTCAATCTTACACCTGTAAGAATGGCCAAGATCAAAAACACTGATGACAACTTATGTTGGAGAGGTTGTGGGGAAAAGGGAACACTTTTGCATTGCTGGTGAAAATGCAAGCTGGTACAACCCCTTTGGATGTCAGTGTGGCAATTTCTTAGAAAATTAGGAAACAACCTTCCTCAAGACCCAGTAATACCACTTTTGGGTATATATCCAAATGATGCTCAATTGTGCCACAAGAACATGTGCTCAACTATGTTCATAGCAGTTTTGTTTGTCATAGCCAGAACCTGGAAACAACCTAAATGCCTCTCTATCAAAGAATGGATAAGAAAAATGTGGTACATTTACACAATGGCGTACTACACAGCAGAAAAAAATAAGAACATCTTGAATTTTGCGGGCAAATGGATAGAACTAGAAAACGTTATTTTGAGTGAGGTAACCCAGATCCAGAAAGACAATTATCATATGTACTCACTCATAGGTGGGTGGTTTTTAAACATAAAGCAAAGAAAGCCAGCCTACAAAGCACAATCTCAGAGAATTTAGACAACAATGCAGACACTAAGAGAGACTTACATAGATATAATCTACATGGGAAGTAGAAAGTATAAAATGAGAAGATCTCCTGAGTAAATTGGGAGCATGGGGACCTTGGGGGAGGATTGAAGCGGGGAGGGAAGAGGCAGGGAGGTGAGCAGAGAAAAATGTAGAGCTCAATAAATATTAATAGAAAGATTTCTTGAATGGTATGTGTGTTTATGTTTTGCTTGCATGCATATCTGTGTACCTACCATTTGCATGCCTGGTGTCCAGAAAGGCTGGAAGAGGATGTTCGATTCCCTGGAACTGGGGCTACATATGGCTGTTAAGCACCATGTGGATAACTGTAATAGAGCCCAGGTCCTCTGCAAAAACAGCCAATTCTCAATTCTCACTCCCTCTCTCTTAATTAAAAATGTTTCTTTCCTTGTAATATATTCTGAACATTGTTCCCTTTCCCAGGTCCTCCCAACCTTCCCTCCTACCCAGCTCTACACTTTCTCTTTAGAAAACAAACATCAGAAATTTTTTGAAAGGAAAGAAAGAAAAGGCACACAAAAAATAAAAAAAAAATACACACAAAAATAAAATCCAGAGACACAAAATTGTAAATTATAATATATAAACAAAAGGCCATTAACAAACAACTGACAAGGCTAGGCAGTGTTGGCACATGCCTTTAATCCCAGCACTCGGGAGGTTGAGGTGGGCAGATCTTTGTGAGTTCGAGGACAGCCTGGTCTACAAGACCTTGTTCCAGGACAGACACCAAAGCTACAAAGAAACCTTATCTCAAAAAAACAAAAACAAACAAAAAACAAAAACAAAAAAGCCTGACACAACAAAGCAATATGAGACAAAAAGTCTGCCAATACCTACCATTAAGTTCATTTGTGTTGGCATCTCATGCTGGGCATGGGCCTGTTCTCAAGTTTGAGGCTTCCTTGGAGAAAGCTATTTTTTCCATTGCAAGCAGATTCCAATTGGAGATGAACAGCTTATTGATTAGAGATGGAAACTAGTGTCCACCTCCCCTTTCAGCAATGGAACCACAACTGGCTGGAACCTCTCCAGGCCCTGTGCATGCTGTCATAGTCTGTGAGTTTGTATGTGCATCAGTCCAATTGTGTAGGAAGGAGGGGGCCTTTTGTTCTTCCTGCTGCCCAGTTCCCAGCCGCCTGGCTAGCTTACACCTGAAATAACCGCACAGGAATTGTGTTAATTAAATTACTGCTTGGCCCATTATCTCTAACTTCTTATTGGATAACTTTTATATATTAATTTAACCCATTTCTAGTAATCTGTGTATTGCCACATGGCAGTGGTTTACAGGCAAAGATTCTAACCGATGTTTGTCTCAGACAGAGGCACCATGATGTCTCTCTCTGCTTTCTTTCTCCCTAAATTCAGTTCTGTCTTCTCCACCTACCTAAGTTTTGCCCTATCAGGCCAACACAGTTTCTTTATTCTTTAACTAATATAAGCAACACACAGAGGGGACTCCCACATCACAGTTGTGTCTGGAAGACTTTTTCCTTGGTATCCTAGTCAGTGTTCTATTGCTGTGAAGAGACACCATGACCACAGCAACTAACTTTCTTTCTCTTTCTCTGTCCGCCCCCTCTCTCCCTTCCTTCATTTTTTTATTTTTGTTTTTTCAAGACAGAGTTTCTCTGTATAGTTTTAGAGCCTGTCCTGGAATTAGCTCTGTAAACCAGGCTGGCTTCAAACTCACAAAGGTCCGCCTGCCTCTGTCTCCTGAGTGCTGGGATTAAGGCATACACCACCATGCCTTATCTCTCTGGCACTTTTATCATGAAGGGATGTTGGATTTTTTTTTTAAGTTTTTTCTACATCTAATGAGACGATCATGTGGTTTTTGTCTTTCATTTTGTTTATGTAGTGGATTATGTTTATTGATTTACCAATCCTGAACTATCACAGTATCTCTGGGATGAATCCTATTTGATCATTTTTAATCTTTTTTATGTGTTCTTGGATTTGGCTTGTAAGTATTTTATTGAGATTTTTTGCCTTTGTTCAGAAGGGATATTGGTCTGTAATTTTCTTTGTTAGATCTTTGTGTGGTTCAGGTATCAATAATTTCCCTCTTGTAAAAATAATTAGGCAGTGTTCCTAAAGTTTTTATTTTGAAGAATAATTTGAGAGTATTGGTGTTAATTTTTCACTGAAGGTCTGGTAGAATTGTGCACTGAAGCCATTTGGCCCTGGGCTTTTTTTTGTGAGGGGGGCGGGTTAGACTTTTAATGACTGCCTTCTACTTAACTGGGAGCTTTGGGTCTATTTCAATTGATTATCTGATCTTGACTTAACTTTGGTAGGTGGTATATATCAATTGTATCCATTTCTTTTAGGTTTTCAGTTTGGTGGCGTATGTTCCTAAGAGTCTCTGGAGTTCCTCAGTGTCTGTTGTGGTGTTACTCCTTTCATCTCTGATTTCATTGTGTCTTCTCTCCATCTTTCAGTTAGTCTGGCTAAGAATTTATCAGTCTTAATGATTTTCTCAAGGCACCAACTCTTCACTTCATTAATTCTTTGTATTGTTTTTCTATTTTTTATTTTATTGATTATTTCCTGCCCTTGGCTCATTTGGGGTGGTACGGCTTCTTATTTTAGTGCTCCTAGGTGTGCTGTTGAGTTACTAATATGAGATCTCTCCATTTGTTTTCATGTAGGCACTGTGTTCTATGAACGTTTTAGAACTTCACTGTGTCAAAGGTTTAAGATACGTTTTATTTTGGTTTTCATTTAGTTCTAAAATGTTTTTACTTTCATTTTTAGCTTGTCTTGACCCAATATTTATTCAATAATGAGTTGTTCAGTTTCCATGAGTTTGTTTACTTTCTGTTCCTGATATCCAGCTCTAATCTGTGGTGGTCAGATAGGATGCAGGGTGTTATTTTAATTTACTTGTATCTATTGGGACTTGCTTTGTGTTCAAGTATATGGTCAATTTTGGATAAAGTTCCATGAGATGACTTCACTCTGGGCATTGGGGTCATTGTACTCTCTTTTTATATGTTTCAAAATTCCCTGTATGCTCTCTAAATGGGAAAAGGTATGAACAGGCAAATCTGTAGACGGAATACCAAAGGATGCGTTTTGTTACTCCTTCCCGTTCTGTCTGTCTGTCTGTCTGTATTTATGTGGTTTTTTGAGACAAGGTTTCTTTTTCTTTTTACTTAGTTTTTATTCATAATCATAAACTTAACTCTGCAATCCAGCTAGACTTGAAGGGGAATGAGGAAAATATGGAACCCAAACTTCAGTGAGAGCAGACATTACAGGGTACTGCGAGCAGATGGGGCTGGGGTGCTCTCCTGAGCTACAGAAGGAATGGTCTGGTGGGTAAGAAGCCCGCAAGTCAAAAGAATTAGAGTTGTCCATAGTCGGAAGTGGTGATCTTCTTGCTGGTCTTGCCATTCCTGGACCCAAAACGCTCCATGGCTTCCACAATGTTCATGCCTTCTTTCACCTTCCCAAAGACCCCGTGTTTGCCATCCAGTCACTCAGTCTTGGTGGTGCAGATAAAAAACTGGGAACCGTTTGTGTTTGGTCAAGCATTTGCCATGGACAAGATGCCAGGACCTGTATGCTTCAGGATGAAATTCTCATCCTCAATTTTTCTCTATAGATGGATCATCTGCCGCCAGTGCCATTATGGCATGTGAAGTCACCACCCTGGCACATGAATCCTGGGATAATCCTGTGAAAGGAAGAACCAAATCCTTTCTCTCCAGTGCTCAGAGCACGAAAGTTTTCTGCTGTCTTTGGAACTTTGTCGAAGGAGACACGGGCTCGCCATCGGCTGCGATGTCGAAGAACACGGTGGGGTTGACCATGGCTGCAGCAAGCGGTGAGAGGGGACAGCGGTGTCTCCAAAGCGTGAGACAAGGATGAGGGGCTGGAGAGATGGCTCGGGGCTGGAGAGATGGCTCGGGGCTGGAGAGATGGCTCGGGGCTGGAGAGATGGCTCAGTGGTTAAGAGCATTGCCTGCTCTTTCAAAGGTCCTGAGTTCAATTCCCGGCAACCATGTGGTGGCTCACAACCATCTGTAATAAGGTCTGGTGTCTTCTTCTGACCTGCAGACCTACACACAGACAGAATATCGTATACATAATAAATATATAAATATTAAAAAAATAAATAAAATATGTAGTGTTCTGTCTGTATTGAACTCAGGACCTCTGGAAGAGCAGTCAGTGCTCTTAACCTCTGAGCCATCTCTCCAGCCCGAGACAAGGTTTCTCTGTGGCTTTCAAGCCTGTCCTGGAGACCAGAGCTGGCCTCGAACTCACAGAGATCTGCCTACCAAGTGGTGGAATTAAAGGCGTGCGCCACCACCGCCTGGCTACTTCTTCCCCTTCTAACAAATAGCAGGTGGCTTAGTTGGAGGCTCCTGACATCACAAGCAAGAAACCTAGATAGCAGGGATCATGAGGCTGGAGGAAAGGGAGAGAAAGAATGGATGGTCCTGCTTTGGTTTGGAAGGTTTGAAGAACCCTGGACCCACTCAGACCTCTCTGGAACTTATAGGTGGACCCTTTGTTATGGAACCAAGTCGGAAGGCATCCTCCTGCCATCTGATGTTAGCTCTGCCAGCTCTCTCAAGGGCTCCCTGCAGCAAGTAGCCACTGATCATCCAACTGATTGGCTTGACTGAGTTCTGTATATTCTTGAAGGCCACCACTTGCTGCTCAGAACCTCCACTTGAGGGATCTGTGGATGAAGCTTTGCATCTGGGCTCTTTCTGGCTCTCACCGTGGGCAAACTTTCCCTTGATCTCTGTGAGTGGAAAAGAATATTAAAGTATTAATTTGGTTTCCACTTCAACTGTGTATGAAAGAAAATGCAAAATTACCTTTCTCCTTTATACAAGATAGACTATTTCTCAAATAAAATGAGTCAAATTAGGCAGCCCAGAATGGATAGGGAATTAACAACATCAGACTCCCAGGCTTTTAACTTGCCCCAGTCCTCCTCCACCTGCCAGCTGCTTGGCCCCCTGCCATGATCTCTGCATTCCAGCTAAGAAAGAGGAGAAAGACCTTTCCCTAACTAAGGGAGTTTCTTGAAGTCCCACACAGTTCTGTCCAATATCCTTGGCTGGAATTTAGGATTGTGCCTATATTCAGTATAATGAGAAGCTGGAAAATGAATCCCCCCCGCCCCCAGGCCCTTTGGGTTTGGAGTCACAGTTTCCACCGCGTCTTAGTCTTTCTTCTCTCTGCTTCCTTCCCCCCATCTCCCTCCACTCTCCCTCCTCTTTCCCTCCCCACTTGCTGCTTTGAAGTTCTAATCCAGGGTTTCCCATGCCAGAAAACACTACCACAGAGCCACACCCCTAACCCCAGAATGGCTTTCATTTGTTCACAACACCTAGCAGGGTTCATTGTCACCCAGTTACAGAATTAGGGAGTGTATCATTGATTTGCTAAGGCAAATAAGCCCACAGGGAGCATCCTCAAATCTGTTACCTGTCATTTGCTATGTAGAATGACTAATATCATTTCCTCTTCTTGGTTGTATAGAGTTGAGAGGCAAAGAGTCGGAGGGAGGTGAGGTGTCCCAGCACAGAAGGAAGAGAGGAGGGGTGGCTTCTGAGTGAATGCAGGAGAAATCAAACTCCAGGAAAACAGCTCTAGGAGGAGCCCACTTGGGTGTGCCCACTCTGAGAGTTATGTTCTGCTAGTATTCTTGGGTACATTATGAATATAAATATAATGGACCCTTGTTCCCAATCGCTTCATGATTCCAAGCTGCCTTTCCAGCTTCTACCCACAGAAAAGGTCTGGATCTCCAGTCCCTCTGGGGAGGGAGCTTCCTGTGTTTTTCTTTCCATTGCTGTCAACATTCGTTCTACTGCACTAAACTGCAATGCTTTGGAAAGAAAGCTACACCATTGCTCAACTGGCCCTCTTCTGATTTCCAAACCACCCCAATAGTTAGACCTGCAGCTTCTCTTTTAGGGAGAAGGCCCATGCTACTTAGGTGGATGTACAGAATTATATGCATGATCTAAACCAAATTCGCTTTTTAGGAAACACCCACCCCAACCTCATGCTCACTTGTTTGGAGATTTGATTCATGATGATAGATAGGCCTGGACCCCCGACTTCCTCCAAGATCAATAGGCGAGGGTCTTCCGGAGATTGCCCATGCGTGAGCTGCTTCTCCATCTGAGCTGGCCCTTGCAAGGCAGCTCTGACAGAACTGACCTCACTAGGTCACAGTAGAGCACGTTATGCTAGCCCTCATGGGCTGCTATGACCTCTGGTTCTCCTCCCTGTACTTTCTCTGTCCCACTGTCACCACTCTGACCTCTTTTCTGTGTCCCTGAGGCACCCACTCAAGCCTTCCATGAGTCTTGTTTCTCCAGCCTGACGTTATCATTTTTAGTACTGACTGACAATCTCCACTTAAATGGCTTGGATAGAGCCCCACTTTGCTTCTCTGTGCCTGAGCTCCCGGTCTCCCAATCCCTGAGCCAGTGTTGGGGACCTCACTGTCCCTGAATTCCATTACTTTTGCACTCTCTGGACTTCATAACCTCACTGCTCCGGCCAGGACACTCCTGTCCAAATGTTAAGCAGCACCAAGCAAGAAGGCGCACTTAACACTGGGCTTCTCTGCCACCAGCACCCATCCCACTGCATTTTTTGGTTCTAACCCAGAACATTGGGTTGGGAGTGGTTGACCTTGACCCAGGCTTCAAACTTGGGCGTGGTGGCTCCCCCTCTGGTCTCCCAGCTGTTGGCTTCTGGCCTCAGTTTGGGTTCTCCGTTGTGCAGGGATATGAGCCTTTTTCCTAATCCCTCAGTACATGGAAGTCCTGAGAACCGTGTCCTAGTGAAGCCCTCCTAATTTAGTTCCTCACCACGCCTTGTCTGAGCACACTTCCCGTGCCATCAGGGATTGCATAACTAATCACCTTCCCATCCCAGTCCTTTTCAGATCTTGGTGGCACGCGGCACACCTGTCTCCTCCTTGTCCTTGGTCCCTACTCTGCGCTGGTTGGTTTGCCTGACTCTCTCAGCAGTGCCCTGGCACACAGTCGCTGTGCTCTGAGCCGTCGGGGTGCAGGAGGGAGAGCCCATCCCACTAGCAGCGCTGGACTGGGTCACACTAGAGCTTCCGGGCTCCGAGGTTGCACAATCGCTGGGAGTTTATCAAGCAGCCCAGTGGTTTTGCTCTGAAACGCGGGGCGCTGGCGACCACAGCAGTTCAAGTGTCCTTCCCTTGCGAGTCTGGAGCTCAAGGGGCGAGGGTCCCCGGTTCTGGGCCAGGAGAACCGGGGTCACATCTGCTTAGTGAGAAGGCATGCACTCCGCTGTTCCTTCCACTTGCCTCAGTGGCGCGGGGATATGCCAGGACTCACGCCCAGGTGTCTTGGATGTCACCTGAGTAGCGAGACCGCGAAGAGCGTAGCTGGGTCCTGTCCCAGGCGGTCAAAGGCCGCTTAGGAATGAAAGAGCTCGGTGACTCAGCGCGCTGAGAGGAGGCTGGCCCGGGAGGCGCCGCCCCTGGGTGGGGACCCCAGTCACTCTCTGCCGGCCGGGTTTGAGTCGCTGGCCTCGCGCACTTCCCGGGCTGGGTGGCCTGAACCCTTCAGACGGCAGGCGCGGATCATGTCCTGCGGAGCTACAGAGAGGGGACCTGAGTCCCCGGCCTTCCAGCGCCATCCAGAAGCCATCGCATCGCGCCTGGCCCACGGCTACGGGCTGCGCAGAGAGTTGCGGGACCTGGAGTTCGGCCGCTTAGCAGGTGAGGGGTGGGGGCGGGAATACATGGGGGCATGCGGGGCTGGAACCAGCGTGCGGGGGGCGCTATCTCATTTGGGGGTGCCCTTTGCACGTGATCTTAGCTAAAAGGCCAAGGAGAGATGGACTCCTCTGGAATCGAAAGTCTGGGAGAGATTGTGTGGGTGTAGCCGGCTCCGCGCTGTCCGTTCAGCAGCAACAAACTTCTTGCTACAATTGTACAACTGCTCCGTGGTACGAGACCAGCCTGGCCTTTCATTAGGTCCCGCCACACACTTCAAATAGAGCCTTTGCCCGCCTCTATTGCTGGGAGAATACCCCATCCTAAAGACCCCGTCTCAGCCAAGGTCACACAATTCATAATATTGAGCAGAGGTGTTTCTCGGATGTCCCATACATGCCAGGGGTGCGCGGAAGGCCACTATATTCAGTTTGGAAAAGTGATTCTGTGGTGGTGACCAGCGATTGCCGAGACAGCGATCAGCAGACAGGTCTCTCAAGGCCACGACCCTCTCTCTATAGGGATGTCTTCTCTGTATTCTTTTTGAAACATTATTACTATTACTGTTGATATTTTAGGCTGGGTTCTGCTGGGAGGTGGTGGCGCACACCCTTAATTCCAGCACTCGGGAGGCAGAGGCAGGCGGATCTCTGTGAGTTCAAG